AGGCAAGGAGGACAAACTGAATAAATGGTCACAAGCTCTAGGAAAACAGCTTCTATGAATTTCTACATAAGTGCCGTAACTTTAATTAGAGGCCTGGAATTTCGGGCTGTATAAGCTGGAGAAATCTCATGATTTTCCTTGAGCCCAGAAAGGTAGCTTGGGGCCAGGCCGTGAGGGGCACTCTGGCCTGTTCTATGGGATGTGTGGTATTTAAAAAGCCAAGGAGAGCTGGTATTGAATCTCAAGCAGAAGGGATGTGAAATAATTTGGTTTTAGTAAATATTGATTTGTATTTTCCCCCATATTTCCACTAAATAAATGGTTAAAAATAACAACTGCTAAATTCTGGATATAATTTTCATGATGGTTCAGAGAAAAGAAATGTTATTTTTTGCGGGAAAAGATTCAGTTCACTAAAAAAATTTGCTGGTAAAAAACATGATTTGATTTGTAGACAGTTGATTTCGGATAACATCTCTAAGAAGGAATCTTCTGATTTTATCAGGAGGAAAGGAGACACTAAAAAAACAGAGCCACGGACGGGATGGTTATGTCTCTGTTTCCTGCCATGGCGGTGTTACAGACCACCAGTATGCTGTGTTCATTCAGGTTATAAAGAAGAGAAGCCGGTTATCTACTTCGATAAGACTTATCACGAAGCTACATGACAAAGTAAGGAAGCCCAAGGTCCTGGAAGGTTAACGAGGAAACGCAGCTCCAGGTAGGATAGTAGGGTGAGTTCTCAGCCGTCAAGCCACCCATCACTCCTACATTGTGACTTGGGCATGTGTATGTGGCCCAGTTTAACTCGGTCTTTGCCTCTCTCGGGGCAGAGAGCAGACAGGTTAAGACACAGGCTCTAGAGCACTCGCCGCCCGGATTTGAATCCAAGCCTCGCCTTTAAGCCACTTAGGAAAGGATCTCATCAGGTCTCAGCCTCCGTACTGCATATCTCTATCTGGCAGCATGCTTCCAGCCACCGCCTTGTGGGCCACAGGACAAACCAGACAGCTCTGTTAGGTGGACACGAACCCTTTGTTGGGTGAGTCACGTGATGGCAAATATCGTACCTCTGTGTGAGGAACCACCGTCACTGCCTTTCTCTGAAGGCACAGAGGAGATACTCAGAGAAACGTGGCCTCCCATCTGCTCAAGAGGCACGTGCCAGACCCAGAGTTCACGAACTAAGGAACTGAGTTGACTAAGCAACATAACAATAAGACAAAGTAACATAACGTGTTACACAATATATAATATAGACAATATTATATATAGTTATATATTAGTGTTACGTTTTCAATATAACATATTTTATATATTTACATGTATTATGTATAATGTATTCACATATTTATTTTACATACAGTGTATATGATATACAAATATATAATAATAAAGGAATTTAGTTAACTAAGCAATACAAAATGAAGTGTAAATTTATAAAGAAACAAGAGAACACTTGTTACATGTTCCACAGTGATCTAACTTCTGTTGAGGCCATCACCAACACTTATTTCATAATTAACTGTAAGAGAAGACCCATTGTTTCTATATAGACTCTACTTTTAAAAAAAATTTTTTTAATGTTTATTTATTTTTGAGACAGAGAGAGACAGAGCATGAATGGGGGAGGGGCAGAGAGAGGGGGGGACACAGAATCGGAAGCAGGCTCCAGGCTCTAAGCTGTCAGCCCAGAGTCCGACGCAAGGCTCAAACTCACGGACCGCGAGATTGTGACCTGAGCTGAAGTCGGACGCTTAACCGACTGAGCCACCCAGGCGCCCCTAGACTCTACTTTTTAATAAAACAGTTGTCAACAAGGGACACCTTCCAAGACTCCCAGTGGTTGCCTGAAACCGGGGACAGGACAGAACCCTAGGTATACTATGTTTTTTCTTATCACACACATCTCTGATAAAGTTCAATTTATAAGGTAGGCACAGTAAGAGGCTCACAACAATAACTAATAATAAAATGGAATTATTCCACAAATATACTGTAATAGTAGGTATGGGAAAGTGGTCTCTGTCTCTCTCAAGCTATTTTATTGTTCTGCATTCACCCTTCTTCTTATGAAGATATGAGATGATATAATGCCCTGGAGAGGGGAGGAAGTGAGGTGAGTAACTGCATTGTTGTGACGTAGCATTAGGTGACTGTTGACTAATGTTCTGATATATGAGAAGGAACGTCTGCTTCCAGACTGCAATTGACAGCCAGGTAACTGAGACCACAGAAAGTGAAAACGTGGGTAAAGTGGGACTACTGGAATCTTCTGTGTGGCATCACTGCCAGACTTGTATTATTTCTTAAAAAAAAATTTTTTTAATACAGGGGGACTTGGGTGGCTTGGTCAGTTCAGCATCTGACTCTTGATTTTGGCTCAGGTCATGAGATAGAGCCCTGCATCAATCAGCGTGGAGCCTACTTAAGATGAAAGAAAGAAAGAAAGAAAGAAAGAAAGAAAAAGAAAGAAAGAAAGAAAGAAAGAAAGAAAGAAAGAAAGAAAGAAAGAAAGAAAAAGAAATTTTAATATCAAATTTCTATTTTAACCAGCCAAATTAAGAAATATCATAGGGGTGCCTGGGTGGCTTAGTCAGTTAAGCATCCGACTTTGGCTTAGGTCATGATCTCATGGTTTGTGAGCTCGAGTCAGTCCCGTGTCAGGCTCTGTGCTGACAACTCAGAGCCTGGAGCCTGCTTCAGATTCTGTCTCTCTCTCTCTCTCTCTGTCTCTCTGTCTCTGCCCCTCCCCCACTCATGCTGTCTCTCTCTCTCTCATAAATAAACTTTAAAAATTAAAATAAAAAGAAATATCATAGAATTGGTTATGTCTACTTGAGAGCAAGGATTACTTACCTTTGTTCACAAATAATGTCAAACATCACAAGTAAGGAGATGATAATTCAATACCCTGCCTGCCATTCCCTTCCATGTACTGGCCCCGCATCAGCCATGTTTGACAGCCATATTTTATTTTACCTTTTTGCTGAGAGATGAAAGTGAAATTCTCAGGTACAAAAAGAACACAAATGCTATGTTTTAGCTTCAAGAGAAAGAGGGCTCTACTTGTCAAGTGTACAAATTTCCTCTACGGCACAATTTTCTTTCTATTCCCTTGGTCATTACCCAAATTCTGGTGGTGGCCATGGAAATGCCTGTTATGATGGCCTCAAGTAGAATAATCTCCTTATTTTTCTCCCTGCCACTGAATGAGGAAATGGTAACTCAAGTCCACAGAACTCTAGGGATTCTGTAGATTTGCCTTAGCCAGTCTGTGAAATCCCAGAAAAATATAGGCAAACATTTTTACATTTGTTTTTTATATAGGAGCGTTCCAAAACTTCTCTCAGATTCTTAGATGAGCCTAATATCTACAAAATGTTAAGAACCTCTTCTCCTGCCATATCTCAGAAACATAGTAAACAGACTTTCTTACTTTCATCCTTTAGCCGATTCTCCATAGCAAAATCCTGCACCTGTCACCACCTCCAGGGCGCCTTCCCTGACCGCGTCACTTTTAACTGATTTCCCTCATGCTTTCCAGCAGAATTGGAAACAGGCCACTTTTGTATTTATCACATACTGTTGAGACCCCATTCACTGGACAGGTATTTACTAGGTACCTGCTATGTTTAAGTCACTATACTCATTTAGGTGTGCCTTGTCCCCTAGTGCACCGCTAGAAGATGGCACGGGACATCACAGTGTCAAATATATGTATCTTGCACTCAAGGACGTATTGCGGTTGCATCTCCATGGAATAGAAATAAAAATCACCAGTAGCACTTCAGTGGGCTGGGATCCAGCTCAAGAAAAACATGTGAAATCAGGCTCATGATTTTTCCCCCTTTTAAATGCGAAAGGGAAACTTCTACAGAAAAAGGAAACGTCGATTTGATTCTCCTGAGCATGGAAATACCCAAGTAAAGGTTCCTTCCCCTACCCCAATATAGTGCTGCTCTGGCAAATTATTTCAGAATCACAAACTATGTATGCTGGTCTCCACCCACCCTCTTAGTAGTACCTTAAATACACCAGTGTCTATGGGAGCCCTAGAGTAGCGCCCCCCCCACCCCGATAATTTTTTTTTTTTTTTTTTGTAATGCACAGGCTTCTGAAGACTAGTGAGGGGTTGAAGATTATCACACCAAGGACTTGGCAGAAAGTAGTTAAACCCTATTGTTACAGAAGCAAGAGGGTGTGCATGGGGCAGACGTGTCCAGTTTTAGACACAAACTTCTAACCTAAATTCCATCCCTCCTTCTGATAGATGCTATTTTGATGGGGTTAGTTTTGCAAAACTCTTTGAACAGGTTAAGCATCCCATTTCAATGACAAGATCTGGAGACTAAGCATTGGCACCTCGGACTTCGGTTATCCCAGAAACCCAACAGGCACATCTCTGTTGAAGTAGGTGGTTGCAAAAATCAAAGGAGAAAAGACGCGCTAAAGCGTCACGTTGTTGTCACCCCCAGGTACCGCGTTGCTGTGCTCCGGACCGGCCAGGTGTACTCTCCTTGGCGTCCTCTCCCACGTAGGACCGGTCACGCCGGGAAAGGCTGATACGCAGAGCCTGGGAAGGAGGCAGGAAGGTCACCCCCATCCCCGGGCCGGGCGGGAGCGGCAGAGCCTCACTTCCCGGGAACGTTCGGGCGGGGCGTCCCCAGGGCGCTGGGTTGGGAGGCGACACTCCCCCGGCTCCGCTCCGCCGCCCCTCCGAGGCCGTCAGTCCTCCCGGCCTGGAGGCGCCGCCGGAGCCCAAGCGCCGCCTCCGGAGAGGTGAGGGCGGGTCGGGGAGGCGGGGACGGTGACGGGGGCGGGGAACCGCGCGCCCGGGGCCGCGGGCGGTCGCCCAGCTACTGTCGCGGAGCCCGCCCGAAGGCCCCCGAGCCCCGGGAACGGAGCTTCCCGCGCAGGGCGCGCGCGCGGAGGAGGGCGCGCGAAGCCTGGACCCAGGCGGCGGCGGGAGGAGCTCGCGGAGGGGGCCGGCCCCGAGCTCCGCCGCCGAGCCGCGGCCCGGGAGGCCGCGGGGCCCTCGCCGTAACTTCTCTTTGGAAGCCCCGGCAGGGCGGGCGCGCGCTCCCACTCGGGCACGCGCGTCCCGGAGCCCCCCTCCCCCCCGCGCGCGCTCCGTCTATTTTTCCCTACCGCTTTCGCTCTCACACTCTAAAATAGGTCAAGGGGTGGAAGTTACACCTGGTACGGCCCCCGGCTCTGATGCAAAAGCAGCTTTTTCTCCCCGGCTCCGGGAGAGCGTTGCAACTATTCGGTTCGGTAGAGTCTCCCGCCCCCATACCGTGCAGAAAGCGCCGGCGACCGTGGCGCTGACAATGGTCCTCAGAGGGGAGCGGCGGCGAGCCTCTTTCCCACCCTAGTTCTGCCCGCCCTGCGCCCGCCCTGCGCCCGCCCTCCCCCAGCACGCGGGGAGTCGGGGGCGCGACAGGTCGCTTCGCGCGCTCGGGCCCCCTGTGTCCCGGGTCTGACCGCCTAGGTGAGTTCGTGCTCTCTTCCTCTGTCGTTCCGGGCGCCGAGAGTGACCTGTTTACCTTGAAAACTTAGACGTGATCAAAACAGGCGAGCCTGCCATGCGGCAGGGGATTGCGGGATGTGCTTCACATGTTAACATCGGATAAGTCAGAACTCAAGAGCTTCAGGGGACATGTTTAGTGTCTTAAAGGTGAAAATAGATTTCTGTTTTCACGGAGTACACGTGTATCTCTCCCTTTAGAAGCTACCACTTGGGAATTGATTTTTAACTAGCAGGAGACAGTGAGCTAATAAACCCAGAAAGTTGGTCAGAATATTTTTTAGGTGATGTGAAAGAACTTATGGACATAGTCAAAGCTGACAACAAAAAACACAGTTTAAGAAGGAATTTCAAAACGGGATGCTAGGATTTGTGTAATATTGCTCTGGGTGTATCTCGTGGTATTACCTGGGTTCTTTGTGGTAAATATCATAAGGATAGAAACGCTTTATGTAGAAAAAGGGTAAGGCTGTAAATATCTACGTGCAAAGCTTTGTATCAGTTGGTATGCATGGATTTAAATGTACATTGAACGTTTCCTGTGGGCAGAGAGCTAGAAGATATCTATATCGTTTTGAGGTTAAGGTTATTAGCAATATTACAGGCAAATGATTGACATTTAACTCCTCCTTTCAGCTGTTGAATGTAATACTATTCGTGTAGCTCATTAACTATGGAATCCTTGGCGTTACCGTCTAATGAATGGTTAATTCCGTTTGAAGTTTAGATTGTGGATTTTTCTGTCCTTGATGCCTGACTGAACATGCAGTGTAAAGGACTCTCCAGTGTTGGTGAGGGATCTTGAGAGGACCTCAGAAGAGAGGGTTGTTTGCAGAGAATGAAAGCGACTCCCTGATGGCCACGGATTGCACATAACTTCTTTTAAAGGAGACCTTGACAAGTTGGAAAGTGTTTCCTCACTAACGCGACCACTCCAGAGACAACTGCTTTGTGAATGCATTTGGTCAGATTTGAAACTGGAGCTCCCTATAGGCTCTTCTTGTCATTCAAAAGAAAGCCTATTTCTAGAAAGGTTCAATTATTGTATGACGTTCTCTGGAAATTATTTGTCCGTGTGTGTGTGTGTGTGTGTGTGTGTGTGTGTGTGTGTGTGTATGTGTTGCTGTAGCTAAATCACCAAGGTAGTCAAGGTTTTAACAAAAATTTTACTTACCAGCGGGATGTGAAACTGAAAATACTATGTCTGCATGGTTAATTCTGTTTTAAAATGGAGGGGCAGAGGTGCTTCCCAAATAAATCTTAAGTCTCTGTTTATGTGTATTTTCTAAAGCCAAATCTTGCTGGAGATTAAGAGGACTCCAAAGAAGGTATTTCTGGCGGGTAGATATGTGAATACTTATATGCATGTCACTATAAATAATTCATATGCACCTTTAGAAAACTAGTATCCAAAATTTGAAACACATGATGAAGGTTCTATCACTCTATCCTTTACGAAGGACCAGTCAAGCTTGGCGATATACAGGAGAAAAAAATGCAACTAAATCTTTCTTTACTGCATGGTGATGTTCTGATTTGTATTTTAAATAGGAATTGAGTCAAGCTCTCATTGTCATTTAGCCCTGGGTATAATGCATTGTTGGTATGAGGCTGTCAGCACTTGTCTGTGCAATCTTATGTTTCTACCTGTAGGGAAAGTGAGAAGGCGCTCTGAGAAGACGGGTATGGAAGTGTTAAGATGCTAGGGATTTATTTAAGACCACACCGAAGGAAATAAAAATGGAGCCTGACTGTGGTATAGCTTGGTACCTGGAAGGTCTGCAAGTGTGGTGGTGCCACATGGCCAATTGAATGTCCTTCAGTTTTTGTGATTTTCTTCTCTTGATGTCGTAAGAGAGTACGTCGCGTAGAACCCCTAGCTAAGAGGTATCCAAGAAGAGTCCATGGCTTTCTCTCTGGCTACTCACTTCCCAATCAGGCAAACTTCTAACCACTCAAGAGAAGGAATTCAGAGCGCGCAATGGAATACCTGGAGTGAATCCCATCTCGGGGCCATTTCCTCACCTGTGAAATGGCGATAATGAGCCTTCCTGATGTGGTTGGGAGAAGCGCATGGAGTAATTTGTAATATCGAGCGGTTAGCATGCTGTGAGCAGTCGTATTAGGAGGAGAAATGTGTTGCCCTAAATGTCATCTCCGGGGGGCTATGGAGGGGTTGCTGCATAACTGACAGGAGAACTGAACGTGCAGGCGAATGGGTCATTCTCCTGTCCTGGTGTATTCTATATGCTCTCACAGTATACACTATAGTATATGCTAGGCTCCTAGTAGTTAGTCTTTTGGGAGCTAGAGGCTCACCCTGTCAAGCCTGCATATCTTCTACCTTACGCAGGCCTTTGGCTTATCTAGGGTTAAAGACGTTACCTGCCGTGGTGTTTGGAAATGATGATGAGACAGTACGGGGAGGGAGAGATGACCAGTTGGAATTCTAAAATAGAATTTAAAAAATTAAATTGGCTAGTTTCTGTTAATGCCATTAGAAGTATGGCCCTCCTGGGGCGCCTGGGTGGCTCAGTCGGTTAAGCGGCCGACTTCGGCTCAGGTCATGATCTCGCGGTCCGTGAGTTCGAGCCCCGCGTCGGGCTCTGTGCTGACTGCTCAGAGCCTGGAGCCTGTTTCAGATTCTGTGTCTCCCTCTCTCTGACCCTCCCCCGTTCATGCTCTGTCTCCCTCTGTCTCAAAAATAAATAAACATTAAAAAAAAAAGTATGGGCCTCGTAAAATGATAATAGTTTCTAGTTTTCCCATGCACAGTTACATAGTTTACAATGGAGCATTTCGACTTTGGGGGCAAAACAGCCATAGCATTCGTTTAGCTTTTCACTTGTTCAGCACTGTCTAGGCACCTAAGGCACTATGCCGAGCCTTCAGAATACCATAGCAAGAAAAACAGACCTAACTTTTCAGGGAACACCTGTCTGTTGGCATACATACGTAAACCTGTAATTACACCGGTGCTCGTGCTAGGCAGGAAAAATGTCAAGGGCAGAAACAGGGAATTTGACTTGTGAAGGGAGGGACGTCAGGAGTGCTTGCTTAAGGCGGTGGCGGTGGGGTTGTGAAGGACCGTCCTTGAGGAAGGAAGAGCATTTGATATGGAAGGAACAGCACCTGCGAAGACTGCATGCACATGTATACTGTAGGGGTGGGCCAAGGAGAGCCAGGTATCTATGAGGAAGGGACAATGTTGTGAATGAGGCTGAAACAGCAGGCCTGGGCCCTGACACACATTTTCTCGTCTTTTATACTGAGGATTATGGTCTCAGAACTCTTGTTTTGTGTAAGCAAGCATCTTAGGCTCTCAGACTACTCTAACGCATTATACAAAAGATATTTACAATCATTTTTTTGAAGCTGATCAGAGCCTAAGCCGATATGTACCATGACTGGTCAGCTCTTTGTATTACTAATTGTCTGACTTGAAAACCACTGGGATTAATTTTCTCTTGAAAAATCTAACAGATTTTTGTTTAATATACACATTTTGTAGATTTCCAGCTATCCTACACACACATCTGTGTCCTATATACAAATTTACTTGTGTATTTCCATTTTGTGTATTTCCAGCTATTCTCTCTCTATATGCATATATACACAAAAATTTATGGGTTATACATATTTACCCAGTTTGAATTTATATGTCTATTCAATAGCTATAGGGACAGAGTCACGTGTATTTCACCCAGGGAAAGGCCTCCTAAGTGTGTATGTGAGAAGCCCGAGCCCAGCTCTGAGAAGCTGTGAGCTAGGCCTGCAGAGCAGGGGCAGGAAGCAGCATGTATCCTTGGTGGACCGCTCTCCAGCACCATCCAGGCAAGGTCAGGGAAAAATCTGGCATAGGATTCTCTTCACCATATGCGTGCTTTTATTCACTGTTATTCCCTGTTCTCATTTCCCTTCTTTTTCCTTCCTCTTTCCCCTGTCATATTTTTTCCCTTAATGTTTTTTTCTTCTCTCTCCAGGGGTCCCCAGAATTATTTCTCAGCCCTCATAACTATGCTTTGGCTTTAACCTCAGGCCCTGCAGTGTTGGCCCTCACTCGGGTAGATCTGGATGGTATGGCCCTTGATCTCCTCCCTGTTATAATGTATAACTGTATGTGTCAGATGGGCACAAACTTTGTCCCTTTGGCAGTTCTTCCCAGGCATCAGAACTAATGTCTTGTGCACTGAATTCCCTCATCTCTCCCTTCTTCCCTGTTGAGGGAGGCTGCAGATAATAGAAACTATCCTAGTTACTGTAAGCAAAACGGTTTTTGTATGGGAGTTAGGTGTTGACAAGGTTGGAAGAAGAGGTTGCAGCTGAAAGGGGAGAAGAGGATCCAGGCTGAGCTCTAGGGGTGACACCCAGACTGCACAGCGGAACTGCCCCCCTCCCCCCACCCCCCAATGACAGGGCTGCTGCTGTCATTGCCAAGGGATGAAGGTTGGGAATCAGAGCCACCACTGGAGCTATTGACAGTCCAAGGCACAAGTGATCAGATTAGCTGCTTACAAAGTGCAATTCCACACAGGAAGCCAGTGACTGAACACAGCTACTAATGACAAAAACAAGCTAGCAAACATATATATATATTTTTTTATATACCCTCTCCCTCCCTTCTCATCCAGCTCATCCCATGGGCAGAACCTGATCTGTGCCCAGAACCCTAGCTGCAAGGAACTCTGGGAAATGTAGTTTACACCTTTCCAGCCTCCACAATTGAGGAACGCACACTTGAAGGAGACTGGAATGAAAGCTGAGTGACACCCCATCACGTCTTACATATCTAAAACATATTTCATCAGAGCCTGAGCTAGCATATTTCATTCAAAGCAGGTAGATGATATATTGTAAGAATCCAAAAAGGATCTGGTTGCTAACCAATTTCCATTTCAAACAGATGGATATGATAGTCATTATAGTTGAAATTGCTGGAAAAAGCATCAAGCAAATAAATAACT